TGAGAAAAGTAAATGAAGACCCAGATTTAATGATGGGACTGCAATCTGCATTGATTTAAGGGTCAGTGATCGTTACCAAGACCCTGGCAAGATGAAGTGTTATCCTAGTGGTGAGAGATCTGTGTTCTTCAACTGGTGATACAGGACAAAGAGGGCTTGGGTCTTCAGAGGTGTTTGATACCCAAACAAGTGAAGATGTGAACTTACAGTGGTTCGTGGCTAGGGGGGAGCAAGCTGGACACGTGGTAATAACTGATAGTAACTGGGAAGTTGTGTCAAAGTTTGGCTTTGTTGCATTGGCTGCTGGATCCCTGTCCCATAGGAGAGCTCATGGGGAGGGAGTATAAAGTAAGCACAGACTGGTGCAAGGGAAAGTGACCAAGAAGTAATACTACCCCTGAGCTGATGGATGCGTTATAAAGTGTGAAGAACCACTGCCAGGCATTCCCAAGGCTGTGAACTGTAGCTAAGAGGCACAGATGAACACTGTGGAGGAAAGATGCTGTGTCAGAGCCCTGCAACAAAACAAGTAGAATCATCATGTGTCACCCAGAACATCACCTCATTCAGCCAAGTACAGATGCCCTAACAGATACCCTAAAGCACAGATTTGGGTTACAGCAAACTAAAAGGGCTGAGACATAACTTTTTCCTTTCTTTAGTAAGTATGGGCATAAAGTTGCCTAAATCTGGAATTGGTACATTTTGGGTTATTTTTTTTGCCCTTGTTATACCTCAGCTTCTTATCACACATTAATTGGTTCTGCTTTTAGCTTAATCTATGAAGAAGCAACTGATGGTTCATTTCATGTTGTTGTGCCCTAAGATTCTTTTTTTACACTCTGCACTTTAACATATGTTATTTAAAGGTTATAGAAAGAATTGTTGGCAAATGCTAGATGACAGGTTGCTGAAACATGAAAAAATAGCAAGTTTCCAATGAGAGACTGAAGAAGCAAGAAAGGAAAGAGGGTAAAATCCATAGACAGTCTGTGCCAATCTTTACTAGGTTGGAAGACCCCCATGTAGATGCAGAGACTGTGCAATGTAAGGCTGACACTGTCTCATTTGCCTGGAATGCAGGGAGGCTCTAGAGTGAAACCTCATTTTGCTCTGTCCTCACTCCATCCCAAATCCCATTGATGCTCAGGGGAAGAGCTGCTCACCTGCCTGGCAGATAGCTACATTAGCCTGAGGACTGGGCTCCTGAAAGTGCCCATTTCTCTGGACAAATAGCTCAGATGGAGATTTGTACAGTGTACATGCTTCAAATTGAATGAAGCAAATCTTCTGAGATTTGCAAAGCCATTCAGCAAACCACTAAGACAATCTACTGCCAATCTACAGCCTGGGGCCAGGGAGGGAATATTTTCCTTCTTCATCTTTTCCTTGTGGGCTATCGTTGATTCCCATTGGTTGAAAAGGTCATTTTTTGCTTTCTCATCAGATTTTCACCCTGGAAAATGGCTGCCCTTAAGCCTGGGATGTATTATGACTAATGACCAAAAGTGATTTCATTATTAGTCTTCCACATCTTCTAGGGCTGTACTGAAACAAAATAAAGGAATGTAAATCAGTTGTATTCAGCTGGATTTGTAGTTAGCAAGATGAATGCATGTGGCCTGTCTCCACACATCCCTTGCTTTGTGGGATGCGGGTGGTCCATCCCACTCGTCGTGTTTGTCTGATGAGCAAACCCAAGCTGCCCACAGGTGAACAGGCACCGCTCAAGAATAGAGGCTGCAAAGTTTCTTCAGATGACTTCTGGTTTGAATATTATGCTTTGACTTGTGAACCCTGAGGAATTCAGATCTCAGGGCAAAGGAAATGTTGGAAGAGGTCAGTGCTGTGCGCCCTCTGTGTTACTCAGAGCAGCAAATAGCAGGCGTTCCAGGGCAACATCTGATTTTCTGCTTTTATGAGGCAGATGTTTAGGATAAGTGATCTGCTGTTTATTTGAATTGCCATCTTCCAAACCTCCTTCCTACGTGCACGCACACATTCGGAGACCATAAAGAAGGATTGTTCAGATTATGCCGCTATTTGGGTAGTTAGCCCTGTCTTCCATCAGCGCCTGGACAGGACTGTGTGCTGCAAACTCAGTTTCCCTTGCCCATCAGTTTTACAGTGGTGTAAATCAGTTGGGTATAATTCCTTTCTCAATGACACTAGTGTAAATCTGAACTAGCTCCACTGACGTCAGTGCCATAGTGGCAGTGTAAAGGAAAGTTAGACTCCCTTGACTTCAGAATGTTGCTGCTGACTTATACCAGAACAAGAGTAAAAGTCGTTGGGCTCGGCATGTCCTAGCACTGTGTTACTGAACAGCAGGCCAGGGTTTGCTCTGGGATACAGTGGTGATGATGGAGAGAAATTCCATGGGTTTTGCTTCTATTAAGTTGAGAAATGAGTTGGAGTTTCACTACAGTTTGTGTGTCAAAGAGCTCCATATAGTAGGTCATTGATGAAAAGGATAAACCAATGCTCCTGTATAAAGTTATTAGTCCTGTTGCCTGTTGCTATTCCAGAAGATTCATAAAGGGATGAATCTGACCATTTGGCTTGTGTTGTGATGATGATGCTGGAGCACAATGTAGCACATCTTCCTTACATCTTGATGGACACCATGCAGGTGTCCATGGAGGAACTGGTGGTCCAGCTGAAGGCAGAGGGGCACGTGGAGGAGCTGCCTTGCAACTGATGCTAAGAGGGGTGCAATGCTGCCTGCACTTTTTTCCTCCAGGAGGACACAAGCAATTGTTCAAGCATTCTGTGCTGGCAGCATTCAGGGTGTTAATCCTCACTCACTTGTTTCTCTACATTTTTCCACCTTGTCTCTAAAGGGTTAGAAGTGAAAGCCTGGCTGTCAAAGGGGTGCTGGCCCCTCTTTCTGCTCTGCTGGGGATTCAGCCTGCAAGCTGTGGCTCTAAGCGGAAGGAGATGAGAAGTGAATGTTTCCTTCTGAAGCTGTAGGGCTTCCCAAACAACCTTGCTGTTTAAAGGGACTTTGGCAAGGAGGGCCTGGATTTCCGGAGGCTGCGTTTTGGGAAGTTAAGAGAGCCCAGCGGTGGACTCAGAGTCCATCAGCCTTGCTCCATTAAAGCCGTTGGAGGCAAGCTGATTTACACCCTTCTTCTGTGGGCATCTGGCCAATCTCCTAATTGTTCATAAGTGACTTTCCTTTCAATAGCACGTGTTTGCTCTGAGTGGCTCGGTTTGCACACAGTGAAATGCAGCCATGTGTGGAGTAATTGCTTTAAAGCCAGCAAGTCAAAACAGGGTCCATGTGAATCACCAGGTAGCCTGGAAGTGCCACAGAGCAGGACAGGATCCATTGACCTCTTTTGGGCCCTTGGGAAGAACCAAGTCAAGACGTTGGGGACTGGCCTCTGCAGGATGAGGGTGGTCGGTAGCATCATTGCAAAGACCAATTAGGAAAAGAGGCAGTTAAATCACAGCGACCAAGGGATGCAGAGTCAGAACATAACCTTGCTCTGCTTCGTGGCTGTCTTTCCTGAATGCAGGCATGCAGCTTGTTTAAAGAATTCCCTCCTCCTTCCCATTTGAATTCTTTACAACAGTTGGCTTTGCCCTGGGAGCTTATAGCATGGTTCAAGTTTCCTCATAAGCTTACAAGCTCCATCTATAGGATAGTCGAAGCAGAGCCTTTTGGCTTCAAGATGATGAAAATGGGCAGAGAAGCTTCACGCAGAGATTCCGGATTTGTTCTGGAAGAATTCCAGCAAGCTTAGCATTCCGCATTGCAGAAAGTCACTGATTTCATCGCCATTACTTCATATTTGGGTATAGCTTTCCTCCCCCATTAAACTGCCAGTCCTCAGCCCCATGCTGCACGACTGCGTGGCTGTTGCCTGTGGAAATTCCTGGAGTTGTGGAGCTGCCATCATTCCATATGTGCAACATCAGGGATTTTCTAAAGAGCTCCTGATCTGCAAGGTTTCTGGGCTACAGTTTTGACACCTTTAGATAGCCCACGGTGCCCACTGTATTCGGTTTTGGTAGTGGGGGGTGCTGCAGGGTGGCTGCTGTGAGAAGCTGCTAGAAGCTTCCCCCATGCCCAGTGGAGTCAATACGGTTCTAAGATGGACCCACCACTGGCCAAGGCCAAGCCCATCACTGACAATGGTAGCACCAATGGGATAATGTGTCTAAGAATGGGGGAAATTCACTGCACAAGAGCAATTGCAGTGGGAGAGAGGAGTGAGAATATATGGCACATGACCCACCAGGCTGTAGCTATATTTTGTCTCCCGTGTTCAGCTGAGGAGGGCAGTGATAGAGTGGGTATGGAAGGAGGAAAAGAAGGAAGGAATGATTTGCACAAGAAATGCAACTTCATCTTGGATGCCCAGAATTCTTCTGAGAGGCACTGTATTCCCAAAGAACAGCTGTTTTTCCTCTCTGCAGATGCATTCTGGTTTAAATGCTGCTTTCTCCTCCTCCACACACAGACCATAGTCTTCAGCATGTACTTATTAAAATACCACTTTCAAGTGAATAAAAGGCATATCCAGTACTTGTTCTTTTCTCTACCTAAAGATTAATTTCCCATTTTCCATCTAACATGTCTGTCATTCGTTATCTCCACAATCAAGAAAAAGCCCCATATTTCTTCCCCTTTGTAGATTCACATATTAAAACCAGAAGGAAATGTGTTCCCATCTCCTGGGCAGCTGACCTGAGTGTGTATGTAGAGATGCATCTGTTTATTCCAATTACCCCATGCAAAGAAGCTTTGCTGTTTGGTAGCTACTGTGGGAAGATTGTCAGGTACTAAAGCACCCAGTTGTCCAGGGGCTGGTTTGGGTGGTGTTCAGTAGCTCGGGAGGGGACCTGTGGATAAGATAGTGCCAGTGGGCATGGTGTGGAGTTCTGGGGAGGTGTAATCTCTCTCCTGTCTTCAGCATCTGAATCCCTCCTCTACCCAACCCCTACCAGGCTGAACTGATGGGTTTTTTCTTTCTTTCTCTGTCCCACAGAGATCCCTGGGTGTCCAGGCATGGTCGAGAGCTGAATGGGCTGACCTCTCTTCCTCACCACCCTGAGCTCATGAGGGCTCTGAATGAAGAGATTGAGTGGGATCATGACCTTGCTTCTCTGAGCCTAGGGATGCTGCGGGAAGTGGTTGCCTTGGCAAATGTCTTCATCCCAACCCATAGCCCATTGTGCATCACCTGAAGGAGAAGCTGATGAAGGATAACCAGAGGACCAGGAAAGGCTCTACTAGCCTCAGAGGACACAGATGGGGGACCGGCACTAAGAGAGGCACTTTGCAGGAGCCACTGCATGTGAAACAAGCTCTGCAAAGAAGCTACAGGAGCCCTGTGAACTGATGGAGGGGAATGTCCAAATCACCACAAAAGGTGCAGAGGGCTTTCCCTGGCACAGCATCCTTGGAAAGCACTGTCAAAAGGGAAAGGGGTGTCAGGACCACATGGCTGTCTTCAGTGTCTGGTTTGGAAGAGGCACAGCAAGGTGAGGAGACAGCAGGATGCGCTCTCATTGCTGGCTGAGGCTCCAGCCGGAACAGGAATCTGACCAAGACTGAGAGAGAAGGAGCATGGAAGATTGCTTTGATTCATTCTGTGCTTGTTTCTTCTGGTGTCCTCTCTGTCTACCTCTTTTTCTCTCTAGGCCTATGTGTACTGCATGTGGGGCCCAGACCCTCACAAACAAGAAGTATTAGCACAGGGCAAATCTGTGCTGCCCAGTTCAGTGCTGTTGCTAGATGGGGCTGACTTTGTACAGTGCAGATGTAACGTGGCCTTCGTTTGCTCCTCATGCCATCAAATCTGCAACTGTAATGCCTGGACTTCAGACTGGAGAAAGGCTTGAACCTGGCAATCTTTTTACTTGCAAGCAGTCACATGCTAGCATGGCCACCACACTTGGGAACCAAGTTTTAACACAGGAGCCCCAAAACATTATAGAGCATCCGTCCCTCTCCTGTAGGTGTGGACATGAGCATACTAGCAGGCTGCACACTCATCTGCTGTTAAAGCTCATTCAGCAGAGAAAGAAACAGACAGAGTGATGGGGGCTCAGGCAGAAAGTAGGAAAAACTGATCCAAACCCATAGGAAAATGTGCACCTCCTAACGCAGCTGTAAGCCCAGCTGGGTGGCTGCAGGTCTCTGTTCACCGAGCTGCTCCCAGAGGCCTGGGCAAAACTTCCTGGTACCGAACTGTGCCGGGAGCCCCATCTCAGACCTTGTCCCCGGGGCTTCCAGCTGCACACCCCTTCCCTCACGTGCAATCCTATTTATTTATTTATTTTCTTGCTGTTCGATGCAAAGCTGCTAACGGAGCGCCCTCCCCACCGACATCCGCAGCTGAGAGGGGATGGAGAGAGGGAGTGTGTGCTCTGTGTGTGTGATGGGAGCGGGCAAAGGGACGGGTGCATGCCTTGGCCGGGCACACGGGGTGTGCACATGAGGCAGGAGGAGAAGGCTGCAGTTAACCAGAAATGCTTTCCCTGGGTAAATGTGTGATTTTGATCTTTCAGGGATTGCAGACAGGCTGGGGAAACCTTGGCTGGAAGGACAGAAAAGCAGCATGAGCTGCGCTGTGCTCCTCTAGCCAGATTTGCTCCATGCAGCTGTGTGTGTAGGGTATGTGTCTCTGTGCATGTTTCCTGGCTGGATCCTGTCCTTCCAGTGCTCGGAGCTGTAGTGAAGCATGTCCACATCCACTTTGTGGGCACCCTGGCTTTGGACACTTGCAGGGAGCTGTATCACCATCCAAGGAGGTTGCCACCAGTGTGCTCACAGGGGTTTAATACCTGGCAGCCTTTTCTGTTCTGTCCAAAAGAGATAACCGTGTACAGACTCACGTAACACAGCCAGTCTGAAATCAGGGGCAGGAGCCTCTCTAGACAATGCTGTAGCTGTAATGGTTCATGCTCAGCAGGGGGGTTGGAAATAGATGATCTTAAAGTCCTTACCAACCAAAACCAGTCTGTGATTCTCTGATTCCATGGCTGTTCTTACCCATTTTGCTAAAAGGCTGGCACACCAGCAGCATCCAGGTATTCCATTTTGTGGAAAGCCTGTGTGTCCAGTGCAGAGGGGAACCATTTCTCTGGGAGAAGGGTCTCTCTGGTGCCCTGCTGCTCTCCCACAGCTCCCATGCTTAGGAGGGAGCCATGGTTCCCAGATGTCCCTGGCAGGGCTCCTGACTGCTCCAGGGGAGCCTGACATCTCCCATACCCTTCCCTCTGAGATGCCCCACCAAGGCTTTGTCCAGACCTGTCTGGCTGCTGAATGGAAATATTTCCCAATCAAAACCTGCTCTTCAGAAGATTCCTGGCTGCCTCTAGTCACTTATTATGTACTGGAAACACTGCCCTTGGGACTCGTTTTCAGGTTAGAGACATGCATGGGATCGTTGTAGTTCTTTTTCTCCCAAATCCTCTCATGTGCAAGAGCAGGTTGCAGTAAGTGAAATGGATACGCTTGCTCTGATAATCTGCCAGCATGGCCCAAAAACAGTGACCTGCTTATTGCTGATTGCTTCCTTGCAGAGTTGTAAGAGTTGGAGATAGAAGAGGCATATTACAAATCCATCTGCCTATGGCCCTTCAGGCCTGTTCTATGTGTTACGTTTACTGGTGGTGTGCTGGGTCTATTTTTAAATGCCCTGACACCAGGGTTATTGTGCTGTCCTTTGGGAGATTGCTCTGTAGTCCAAGTCAGAAGCTGCTATTAGTATTCCACCTGCATTTCCTCTTGAAACTTCATTCCGTTATTCCTAGTGATGCTCTTCAAATACCTGCTGCTCATTATGTCCCAGCCAGGCTCCACCACTCAACCCGTACTCCTCTTTCCTCCTCCCAAGAACTTCTCTGTATCCCTGATCGCTGCTGCTCGCTGTCCTTCCCATAGTTTGGCACACAATGAGCCTGTTGATTCAGCCGTGCAGAGATTTACCAGGGATCCGACTGACCAGGGAGCAGCCAGGATCTCTGGCAATGCCTGGTCTGCGGAGCTGCTCTTCCCTCACTGCACATGGGATGCAGGAAAGGGGCAGGCACAGAGACGTTTCTGAAAGCACTGGTAATGAGCTCCTCCTACCCTGCGGGGAGTGAGTGCCTGCCAGGGACAGGACACAACAACGTCCCCATCTCAGCAAAGCCCAAACTGGGCAAGGGAGGTGGGTGATGCTGTAGTATCACCTGTGCTGCTGTACAGGGATGGGTGGGGGGCAGAGGTCTGTGCTGTGGCAGGGAGCTGTGGTTTGCCCTGCCTGAAAATCATACCCATGAGTTGGAGCTGCAGCTCTGCAGAGAGGGAGCCCCATGAGCAGCACGGGGGGCTCATCGGGCTCAGCACATGCTTGGGGAGTCTGTGTACAGCACTCGGCTGGAGCACCATTGTGATTGTAAGAGCTCTGTTCTTCTCACCGAACAAATCGTTCCTACCAATAAAGAATGAAAATTCCTCCTCTTCTTTTTCTATGCTATTCCATGCAGCACCAGAGAAAGGGATGGCACTGGGATGGTGGGAGCAGAATGTCACTGTGCTGCTGCAGATGCCGGGGCATCTTGTGGGGAGGATGCTGGGGCTACATGGGGCAGAAGCTGAATGCAGGCAGAAATATCCAGGGATCTGAAAACCCAAAGTGCTCTAGAGCAGGTTCCAGGGCTTCTTCACAAAGCCTGCTGATGCTGATGGGTTGCATTATATCCAAGCATTGTGAGAACGGCTGTGCAACAAGGCTGCAGAGGAGCTGAGCAGCAGCAAGGCAGTCTGTGTAGGTGCCTGGAGGTACAGTGGAGCAGAGCAGGAGGAGGACACCACAGAAACCAAGGGGAGAAAAAAAGACAGATGAGAGTGAAGAGACTTCTAAGGGTTTTGCTGGATGACAACAGAGGAATCTGGACTCTCCTACATAGCAGTGTGTCCTGAGGGCTGGTTCCTTGCCCAAACTTTGTATCAGTGATAGAGCAGAAGGTTCCTTAATTCCTCCTCTCTGTTCTCCCCAGTGATGTGGGGCACAGTGGCAGTGACATCACAGCTTTCAGAAGCAATTGTCAGGGGAAGAATTTGGTCCCCAAACAGCAAAAGAATCAAAATCACATATTTCCAATAGAATTCATGATTAGACAATTAATCATCCCAATTTAAAACATTGGAGGGCCTCGAGTGCCCTAATGCATAAAGATATTCTAGGCAGGGGTTGCGTACATCTGTCAGCAGCCTGTTCTCTGGCTGCCAGTGAGCACGGGGCCTTGGGGAACACACACACTGCAGGACCACTCTGTGGGACCTGCATGCAGAGCTGCCAGGGGGAGCTGGTATGGCTTTTGTCATACCAGAGACAGCCTTGAACGGCTGCATGACTGTGCAGGTCTCCACAGTGCCACACCTCCAGTTTTATGACTGTGAACCACAACACCACAGCATCTCATCGCCGCTTTCTAAGGACATTGCCAAAGTCAATTATGGCTCAGACACGTGCCAGCCATGTGCACACACAGGTACTTGCCCATCCACATCAAAGAGGCTCGTCTAACCTCTGCAGGCCTCCAGCAAGCCAACAGGATGGATTTTCTCCATCTCTCAGACTTGGTATCTGGATTTATTGAGCTCTGGGGTCAGCCTTGGAATTTGGGACTGGATAAATCCTGAGCCTTATTTACACACGCAACCACGCTGCCTCCAGACATACCAGGATGTGTCCAAATACCTTCCTCAAGTTCCTAAAGCTTTAAAACAATCCAGAGAAAAGAGCTGTGAGGAGATTATTGCAGCACATAACTACAATAAACCTTTTCTTCATCCTTTCATGGTTAGAGGCATGAACATGAATTATGGCAATTTAAACCTCTTGAGAGCAGTGTGTAGAGCAGCTTTCTCAAATGACTGGTAAAGGACCTTGTTAAGCTAAGGTGTCAGTGCTTGTAAATGCTGCTGTCTAAACGAGGTGATTTTATGAACCAGTTTAATCCTTTCAGGAATCAAATGACCACACCAAGCAGCACATTCATTCTTTGCTCCTTGTTTTCTGACCTGTTGTTCATTCAAGGCTCTGGCACTGTCACCTCTTGCAGCAGATGAGATCCTTCATAACTTGCAGATGTAAACAGGTTGATAAAAACCTCCACATCTGGCTGGTTTTCGTGCTACCTGGCAAATAGCAGAAGCTGCAGGGAAGTCAGGGGATTTTCATGTGCAGCCAGCAGGAAAACAGGAGGAAATCAGTGTTCACTGGCTCCAGCTGTAACTTTTAGGGTTGTTTTGTTAGCTGCCACGCAAGCAGGGCTCCCAGTCCTCGTAAATCCTTGTAGGATGCCTCCCTGCAGTGCTCTGTTGCTCCTGGGCATGTATTGTCCTGGGGGATGGAGGAGGAGCACTCAGTTCCCTAAGAGCCATGGTCCCTCAGAGCTTTAGCCACATCCCTTCATTCAGTGGCCCATTTCTTAGCATCCCTTTAGAAATCACACACTGGGTATAAGCAACAGGTACTTTCTTTCCCTGCCTTAAATACCTTCTGGAGGATGTGTCCCTTTCCCTGGACATGCTTTCTTGCCCCAACACCACCCCAAAGGGTGCTGCTGCCACAGCACTGATACTATCCCTGAGCCTTTGATACTACACCAGCCCCAGCTGGTACCACTCTACCTTCCCAAGGCAGAAGCTGATTTCTGGGTCCCCCCAGACACATTTGCTTTCAATTCTATAGGCACAAATCCCAGTAAATTTTGGATTAAATAACTTTGTGCTGGTAATTTACCGTAATTTTTATTATTATGGGGAAACATTTAAATCCCAGATGCTCTGTTTTGGTCTCCATGGAAATTGACGGAAGAGCTCACCTTTTGATTGCAGAATCCTGATTCTGAGGGGAATGATTTTGCCCCATCGTTTGGAGACATGATGGGGGCTGGGTTGTTTTGTCAGTGAAATTCATAATGAAAATAGGAATCTGCACAGACCAGGCTGTCATCTGACATCAGGAAACAAAAAACAGGAAGAAGGGGTGTTACAGAAATGGAAATTATGGTAGTTAAACCACAAAAATAACAGCAGAATGTTGGCATTACAAACACCAGGCTGGTTTATCAATGCTGCTTCTCTAAAGACTGTTGTGACTGGAAGCTGAAAGAGTTGAGAAATATCTAATGCTGCTGTTAACCATTAACTATTTTGTCATTAGTCTTCGCTGCAGCCTGCTTAGGGAGCGTGTAGTTTTGAGAGTTAATCCTCATTCAAAGCCACCCAAGCCAATGGAAAGGCTGTATGGGAGTGCAGGGCTGCAGATGACTATGAACTGCGTTTGCAACTGCAATAGCAGCCAGGCAACCAAAGAAGAGAGCTCCATGGCTCTGGGTATCACACAACCCACGTGGGAAAGGGTCTGGTCCTGCAAAGCTCAAGATCTAAACAGGTGAAAAGGAATAAGTAGGAGAGTAAAAACCTGGCAGAGGAGACATCGCAGGGGTAACAAACAGCATCTAAGCGTATACCCTGGTTAAGCAGAGGTCAGCTAAACCCAGGGAACTATGAACACCCAATGCTAGGATAAACTGCCTCTCTAGACAGGCTATTTTTCTACCAAGCTTAGAAAAGCGCTTTGGAGCAGCTCAGCTGGAGACATCTGCATTCAGACAGACAGATCCTGGCTGCTCCCTCTGCTCCCTGCAGCCTTTCCAATGGCCCTGCACTGGTAGGGTAGCGAGAAGCTGGCTCTGAGGCAGGGGTGTGTTTTGCCCCTGGTGCCAGCCTTCCCAGGGCAGGGAAGACAGCAGCGCCCTGCTCTGGGGAACCGCACATTCCCGTTTGCATCCCCACAGATGCCTGACTGCTGTGCAAGCCCGGCAGGAGCATCAGCTGCTGCTTCTAGCAAAGCAACACGTGAAAAAACGGTAGAACCAGAAAGCAATTGCACAATGAGCACCCAGCTTGCAAGGGCAGATTTTGGGGAAGTTTGTGGAAGGTTTTTTAATAATTTAAATAATTTAAAATCATTTCAGATTTCTTTTAAAATTACAAAGAAGTCATATTTTCATTGCCACATTCTTCCCCTTTCTAATGCTAAATGAGTGCACCGACCTGCTGACTGTTGTGCTTTCTCCTGCACTTTTTCAGTTGGAGAAGTTCTGTGCTTTTTCTTTTTAAAGCAGCCAAGGAGGGGGAAGGGAAAACTGAGAACACCCCCAGCATCACCTAGATAAGGGCATCTGGGGACAAAGCAAATGGAGAGGAAATTAAACTTTTCAGTTTTCTTTTATCATCAAAACCAAAGCAAAATGAAGTTCGCCATGTTTCAGAGATTCCCCTATGAAAGTGTAGTCTGAAATGACTGGGTTTGTAGAGAAGGTGGTTTTGAAGGAATCTGCCTCTTTGATCTCCAAATTGTGGCTAACCACAGCTAAATGGCACTTACAGCTCCCCATCCTGTGGCTGTAGCTGAGTACTTCCCACTGATGCTTGTACAAACTCCAATGGTTTTGGTAAACAGCCAGAGAATCTCACTTGGCAATTTAGCTTGTGTGCCACAGATATCCCACAGCCCGCTGGAAGCCAGGCACAGGCAGAAGAGGGGGACCCATTGCTTGCTGTCTCATACTGCTCACTGCATCCCAGCGCCTGATGCACCCCAGCTGCACCTGGCAGTGAGCCACGGGATAACAGCATGAGGAATTGCGCTGCTTTGCCCACACCGAGCCATGCTGTTGGCTGCGGTGCCCAGGATGGCACCTGTTGCTGTTGAGGTTGGTGCTATTTCTGGAGCATGCATGAGGGCAGGAAAGATTAGCGTGCCCCAGATTCAGGAGAGCCAGGCTTGTTATGAGCAGAGAGGGCTCAGATTTGCTCACCAACAAGGTCTGGGGGCAGGAAGGGCTCCCCTGGTCCTCCTTGGGCATGGAGAGGGCCAGTCCAGAGCAAGATGCTCCCTGACAGCACTGGGGAGAATGGCAAGTTTGCAGCAATCCTGGGATAGCTGAAAGGTGGCAGGCGAAGGCTGCCAGGTTTATCTGCAAGATGCCACTGCAAATGTGTCAGGGGAAAAATTTCAGCAGATGCAGAGCTGGGGAGTTGCAACTGTGACGCTTCAGCACATGAAGAAATCCCGGATACTTCCCAGGAACAGCAGAACAAGCCTGTCCCCAGAATAGAAATGAACACCCATTTCATTAGCAAAGACTTCCCTGGGCTTATTTAGGCATCGATTGCTGCAGTGGTTGTGCGCTTGTAGCGCAGATTAACGATTACAGAATGTACCAGAGCAGCGTCGTCACGGCACAGCTGGGAACTGTGGAGCCGACCGGGGCGATGCTGCGTCAACGTGGCAGCTGCACCTCCAAGGGTACCTTTAATAGGAAAGCACTTGCTGGATAACTTTGAAGGAAGGAAACATGGTTTAAAGTCAGGTTTATTCTATGCTGTGAATTCCCCTTAGCACAGCATTCTAGCTGCCTGATGGAGCAACTGCC